GATTCCAGCACCAGTAACCTAGATATACGAGTGCTGCTTGCCATCGGCGGTTACTTCAGATTCAGATCTCGAGCCACATGACGAGCGGGGAATGCCAGCCCCGGATGCACAGAGCAGCCCCAAGCGACCCCCAAACCCTAAACCCTGAGAGCCCCAAACAACCTTTGAAACACGAAGCACCAAGGCGCAAGTAATTTTCCTGAATCAGACGATCCGGCCTCATAGCATGGCAGCTCTTGAAAGGGCCCAGCCGCCCAGGCGGCTTTGCCCGGTTGGCAGCCTCTTTTGGGTCTTCGGGCTGCAGATTTTCGGCCTATCCGCGTAGAGCCCAGTTCATGGATAGTTATACGCAGGTTGTTTATAGGCTGCCTCGTTTCAAGACTGCATATACCTGGCCAATCCTGCCCAGCGCGAAAGCCTGCCCGTTGCTCCCAGAAAACTGTACCTACCCCTTTCATGAAGCCTGAATTAGCAGCGATAATTAGCAACGTGGCGTAAGGTCCAGACCCATGACGACATGCGCAGCATCTTTCAAAACCTTGGCAGCAGTGGTCAATCGAAATGATCATCTACTCGAGAGCTTAGTTTGGGGGCTTGGGCTGCGAATTTCTCTGGTTTGGAGTCGACTGTCTGACCCCTTGTGGGCACCCGGCATCCCCCAACCCCAAAAGCCCCAAGCCAATTGACTTGTTGATCACACATACATCCACAAATCCCTGCTTAACTCCCAAACCGGAAAGGATCAGGTCTTAAAGAGTCTGAAGGAGGGAAACGGGGGGAAGATCGTGAGTCTGTTTCTCGGGAGCACTTCAGGCGACGATCTGTTAAGGCACCCGCCTCCAGCCATACCCCCACGTGGACCCCACCCCGGGAGAAGATAACGCTCTATGAAAAGCTCTGCATTAGAGATGTCTACTTCGCATCTCCATACGTAGAACAGTTGTACGTGCCTTATGTACATGAATGTCACTTGTAAGTGGCTCAAAAACAAACTGCCTTGTCAGAAGACCAGTTTGTACCTATACTTACCGTGATTCTATCCTATACGAAGTAACTGCCTGCAAGTAGTTCGATGCAGATGCCGCCTTCAGCGGCGGGCTCGGGGTCGCAGATTCCGTTGTGTGTGTTCCGAAACCCACAGAAACTCAGACGCTGGGGCCGCCGCACCGGGTGTCGCGAGGGCCATGGCCAGCTCTTCGTAGGCACGGAGGCCATCCTTTAAGCTTGGACATAGAGGGTCCACATGGTCTACGAATCAGGTTTGGCGGTTCGGATTTATGGTCTAGGGACAAGGTTTCAGGACCAAGAGACAGACAAGCATATTCAGGGTTAGGGACTTGCAGCTTGAAATCATTGCGGTATAAGAAGTTTGGAGGTCCCAAACCCAAGACAAACTAAGCCGTGTTCTCCCTTGGAAAGCCCTAGACCTGCGACACACGACGACGCCGACACTACCACCACAAACAGCAAGCAGAAGCAGCAGCAGCAGCAGCAGCAGCAGCAGCAGCAGCAGCAGCAGAAAAACACGAATAATACAACAACCACGTGACCAAACGACCAACCACACATGACATTACGTAGCATCTGCAGTTGCAGCATTTGCCTTACGTTCCGCAGTCACATTACTAGCAAACATTGCATCCGCACACAAGCTAAAACAAAGACACAAACAAGCAAGCAAAACAAACAACATGCCAAACAAACAAACAAACAAACAAACAAACATTGACTACACGACACAACACAACACAACTCAATTCAACTCAACTCAACACAACACCGCGCAAAAAAAAAAATGACAACAAACAACCATGATTCCAAAAGCCACAACCACAGGGCGCATCGGAACCACAACCACACAACCAAGACCCAAAACTCTAAGTCCAGCGCAAAGTGGACTTGTCGAGGGCTTAGACTTACATACTCCCCTTAGAACCTTAATGAAAATGATATTTTTAATATCCTCTTGGGTTCTATACCCTAAACCCTAAACCCTAAACCCTAAACCCTAATAGGTATAAGGTTCGGGATGGACACTTGGGCAGCACAGTCCTCGCCGGCCGCAAATGCCGCCGTGGATTGGCTCTGAATCTCCCGCGCCTGGCGCGTGAGGGCTCAGGGTTTAGGGTTTAGGGCTTAGGGCTTAGGGCTTAGGGTTTAGGGTTTAGGGTTTAGGGTTTAGGGTTTAGGGGTATTCTGGCATTTTTGCAGGAACTTCACCGCGCTGTCCCAAGGAATGTTGCCAAGAGGATGGTGCCACACGTTGAGAGCCGTCTGCTGTCGGCGAGTTTCATCCCATTCTTTTGGGCTTCGTTGAAACCATCAAAGAGCAGATCTCTGCCTTACTTCCCAAAAGGCTTAAGGTTTAGGGTTTAGGGTTTAGGTTTTAGGGTTTAGGGTTTAGGTTTTTGGGTTTAGGGTTCCGAAGGCTAGAAGGTGAGTTGGATACCAGCCAATGCCGGCGCCATCTATGTTGCCATGTAGTGTCACAAACACACACTGTGGATGCCCTGGGGCCGAAAGCATAAGCACGCCGGGGATACGAACCCCACGTGTTTCATGAGTTTCGCAGGGAGGTACCTCAGCGCCAGGATAGCACCCTGAACCCTAACGCCCTGACGCCCTGAAGCCCTAAACCTTAAGCCTCAGACTCTAAGCGGCACAAGCAGGGCTTAGTCATCAAGCCCGAAACAGTTTTGCAGCTATGGGGTCTTGGAGCCCCAAATGGGGGGGTTCCCGTAATTCGGGGTACCTTATTACAAGGGAATCCGACTATTTGGGCGTCTATTTTAGGGGTCCCCTATTTTCGTAAACCCCCAAATGATGGGGCTGCAACAGAACTCCGCAAAGCTCGGCCCCCTGAAACCTTGTCCCTCAACACAAAACCCTGACAGGGTTTGACGTTCACAGGGCATTTAGAGTGGAAAGTCCACGTCTGCAAGGTGTTCCTCTCACTGCCTTCCTGCCAGAGATCGTTCACGGGCGCGAAGGGAGAACAGGCAGTTGAGACCCCCCTGAACCCTGCATTCTAAGCCCAGACAGGGTCCAGGTTTGCATCACATGTACGAGCATGGGGTTCAGATAGAGGTTTGTGTGAACGCCTTGTCGGGTGTATCTTGCAATCCTGCACCAGGAACGCACAGGAAGATCAGAAAGCTCCTGAGCCCTGATATATAAATCTTTGGATGGGGCTTCTGGGCTTGCTAGACGAAACTCTTAGAAAGCGAGTCTTGCGACTGCAGGCAAGTACTGAGTACTGCAAAAGGCCCCAGGGCCACAAAGGCGCGGCCCCCCGGGGGTGTGAAATGAGGAACCCTAGCTCCGGGTTACTGCCATTGCTACGGGCATCTTTGACGCAGCAGCGGCTCAGCTCCAGACGGTGGGTTGGACACGGCCATGTCAAATGGCACCAGGCCTGCATGCAAAGTGGTGTGCCTTCCATCTTCGTGCATGCAATCTGCAGAAGTACATGAAGCATCAACTCAACCCTAAACCGCTTCTACCGCGAGACCTACCCCGTGCTGCAGGCCACAAGACACTGAAGCAAGACTTGTACCGACGTCTTTCTATGAAGGCAAACGTAATTCCTAGAAAGTGCAACTACGATGCAGGGCCGTCGTTGCGTACGGGCTCTTCAACAAGATCCCCCTTAACCACACCCCTCAAGCCAAAAAAGGAGACTACAGTTCAGATTCTTCAGTGCAAGCGCCCAGAACTCCAACCACTAAGCCGACAAACCACATCGTCAAACCTTAGATGCAAACATGCTACTCCCCAAAACCCTATACTCAGCTTTGTTTTGGGGGGTTCAGGATGCTTTGGCTTCTTTCAAAACATCAACGACAAGGACCTCAACCCAATCCAACTGTTTCGTGGTGGAAAAGAGCAGCCAGTACGTGTCAGACTCAGCGTCAGTTGGTTTGCGCTAGTTGACACCTAAACAGTGAACTTAAACCACAAACCGACGAACCCTAAACCAAGCTGAAGATTGTGACAGGTAGGTGCGGCAGGGATCCCGGTCAGGCTTTTGGTTGAAGGTTCTTGCATTTTTGGGTTTAGGGGTTCAAGAGTTGGGTAGGAGGGTAAAGGTTCAGAGTTTTGGCACAGGAAAGCAGAAGATGAGCGAGAGGCCTTCTTTGGGCATCTGCGCAATATCGACGAAAGTGCGATGCTGCACCTCGGGAGGACTCTGCGCTGGAATTCCTCCAGCACCCCACCGTCGCACAGAATACGCTACCCTGTCTAAGCAGTGTGCTGACTTCCTCATGGGTCCCCATAACACATTCCGGGCAGTTGACGTGACTAAAGAACCTGAAGTGTGGAGTTCCAGAGTATCGCTTAAAGTTTCAGTTCCCGATTGGGCTTCTGGCGTCGCAACGTTCAACCAATGACAGCTCCGCGGCATTGTAAGTCGCCGCTGCAACGGCCTGCTCTGGGCCCCCACTGGGGAACCATTAGACGGCTCATGGTTCTTGTGCCGATGAATCTTAACGATGATGCCAAGCTCGCTACGGTAGACCGAGCTCCTTGAGCGCCACTAGCTCTTAGGTTCCGGGATGGTGGTTCCATGCGGTCTTGCCTAAACTTAAACTACATCGCCCTCCAACCACCTGAGCCCCAAGATCTCCAAACCGCCGATGCTCGAAAGACGACAAAACCTTGGTATCCTGACAAAAACCTGTCTTTACAGGTCAGGTTTGGAGTCAGGGTCCGCAGAAAATTTGCGCACAAACGCTTTCGCGACAAAGTATTTGTCGTGTTCAGTGCAACGTCTCATGGAACGCGGTTTGGGACTGAAGGCTGAGGATGTTTTCTATGTAGAGATTGATGCTTTTATTGCCATAAGGGCTTGAATGTGCCTAAAGCAATCGGTGGAAACTGTCATGCGGATCTCCCTAGCCCCAGGTCTTAAACCCTAAACCCTAAACCCTAAACTCCAAACCCTAAGCCCCCGTGATGATCCCCACCTTCGTGTCCGCGTCGATGCCGACGCCGGTCGCTTCGGAGAAGCGACTGCGACAAAACTGCGCACTCCGAAGCCCCACTCCCCCTGAAGCTAACAGCTCCTTAATAGGGGTTATAGTTTAGGGTTTAGGGTTTAGGGTTTAGGGTTTAGGGTTTAGGGTTTGGGGTTTAGGGTTTAGGGTTTAGGGTTTAGAAGTACTATTGCCCCTTGAACTAACAGCTCCCTAAGAGGGATTCTGGTACCCCCCCCCCCCCCCCCTATTATAATCCCTCTTAAGGACGGCTAGCAGAAGGGTGAACATCCTAACCCAAAAAGCTAAACCCAGTCCGAAGCCTCCCCAAAGCGATAGACCCAACAAAAACCCCTCCAAAGGCCCAAAGAAAAAGGGGTTTAGGGTTTAGGGTTTGGGGGTTAAGGGTTGAGGGTTGAGGGACTAGAAGATTCAAAACCTTTATACTCTAACCCCTATTCCCTGCAGACTGCAGACATTTGCACATCAAATCCTAAGCCCCGAACTCTTGAGAAAGGCTTGCAGATGGCCTGAGCAGCGATAGAAGAATGCAACCGCTGCCTGGCAACGCGCGCAGCTTGAAAGAGGTGCTCGCTTTACGGGTGTGGCTTTGAGGTTTCGGGATGGGGATGGAAAGCTCGAGGGAACAAGCAGAAGCTGTTTTGCTGTCACTCTGGAGAGTGACTGAAGTTCTCTGAAGAGGCTGTGAGCCCCCCTGAGCCCGAAACCCCCTGCTCAACACTCCTGCTCGTAACCCCGATCCATGGCTTCAGGAAGGTGAGGGAGGGGAGGATGACGACGCGCCTGTGCCACAATCCAGCACACGGAAGGCACCGGTGCTCACCTCTGCGGCCGCCTGGGCGTCTAAGCGTCTAAGGCTTCCGGACGTTTTAACGTTACATTGGATGGCAAGTCGAAGGCTGCCAGCGGGGAGTTTCGGATCTGGGGCTGGAAGCTTCAAGGTTCAAGGCATATTGCGATTTGCGACCGTGAGATGTGGGAAGTTTTGGGGCTGCTTGCCTAAGAACTTCAGGACCTGGTCGACAGGAACCAAACGATCGGCTGCAGAGTCCGGGTGTCGGACATACTTGCAGCAACACTGAGGGGTTCGAAGTCATCGAACTTGAGCTGCTTCTCTTACTTGCATTGGTCCTTGCATCTCCTCATGAACATCCCCAAAGAGGCTGAAACCCTAAATCTCCCCGATCTCTAAACCTAAGCCCCTTTAGCTCTAAACCCTAATCTGCCCCAAACCTTTGGCCGTCTAGTATGGGATGGCCAATGGTGGGCCTCTGCTTTGGAAGTGGGTCGGAAGTTTAGCTTTCAATGCCATTTTGAGTCACACGTGCGAATCACAAGCTTGCAAGGAATTCAGAACTTTCTAAGCTCCGAACCTTGAACCTATGTCATACGGACACGGGAACCTTATCGGCAGTGCCGGGCCAGTGAAATCGGCCGAACCCCAAAAGCCCCAAGAACTCCACTCTAAACCCTAAACCTTAAACCCTAAACCCTGAACCCTACACCCAAACACCAAAAGCCTAAACCAGGCCTCAACAATTGGCAGCGCTGAGCGGCGTGGCACGAAGACCCCTGGCGGGCAGTCGTGGGAGGTTCGTTTGGGGGTTCAGATTTTCGGGTTTAAGGTCCGGGTTCGGGCCGCGCCCGGATTTACGACTGAAGTCTTGTCCCGGCTCGGGCTTTTGCGTAGAGGATCCCGATGTGGTAGGTGCTGCTTCTGAGAAAGCTTTTGGCCACAGGGCTTCGAGGTCAAAGCTGCCGAGCATTACGCGTTGATCGGCATAAACGTGGAGATGCTTGGGATTTAGGGTTTGGTGATTTTCGGTTTATGCTTGGGACCCGCAGCATCACCTGTCTCTCTCTCTCTCTCTCGCTCTCTCCCTCTGTCTCCCTCTCCCTCCTTCTCTCTCTCTCTCTCTCTCTCTCTCTCTCTCTGTCTCTCTCTCTCTATACATGTAACGTACAGTCTATAATACTTTGCTAATACGTAATCTTACATATATATGTATATTTATCATGTACCTTTCTGCTGCAAGCTATTTCTGCTGTGTATTTCTTACGACATCCCACCTGGTGGTACACGTAACGTGAGGCCGTCAAATGTCGCCTGGCTCAGGAAGGCAACCAGTATGATTCTGGATCGAGTTCAGGACCTAGGCTTGTGCATTTTCAGGACTGCCATGGGCGTCTGCAGTCTCTGACCAAACTTATTTGCTCCCCTCCATCCAGTGCTCTCACCTTCTGCCTGCATGTATTTCGACACTTGTTCATTTGCAAAAGGAGCTTCAGAGCCAGCCAGCCAGCCAGCCAGAGAGAGCGAGAGAGAGCGAGAGAGAGAGAGAGAGAGAGAGAGTCAGAGAGAGAGGGAGAGAGCGAGCGGGGACGACCTGAGCAAATCTGGGGATCCTGAATACAAGGACACAAGGACATGACGGAATGCGAGGGCATGAAAACCGCCAATCAATCACCCCTCACGGCTAGCCAGACTCTTTCAGCAAGAGTGGCATTCCGACATCCATCTACTTGCCCCGGGAGTAACCTAGGAATAAAAAGGGTTCCCTTTTTGGTTTTTAAGGGGATTATACGGGAAACCCAACCCTAAAACAAGGAAAAGAGGGCCTACTCCCGGTCCTAGTCTACATGTATAGCGCCCTTGACAGAGCTGATTGCAACATCTTGCGTAGAGTGTGACTGCCTTGTCGGTTCAGTACTGCGGCCAGCCACCGCTCTTCCATATGTCGGCCTTTCTGTTTTTGGTGTGGTTCTGGCATCGTCCATTGTGCCATGAGTGCCCTCCTGAGGGGGTGGGGGGCTGGGAGCGGAGGGAGGGAGGGAGGACACCTTTCATTTCCCTGAATGCTACATGGGTATTTCCCAAAATAGGGGTACCCCGTTTATACCCCAAGTAGAATAGAACCCTCACATGGGAACCTCCTGCGTGCACAAGGCTACGCGTCTGACGAAGCGAGCCTCTTCGGAACAGTGCTCCGTGCGCCCAGACCAAGTGGCAGCCTTTGTTTAGGGTTTAGGGTTTGGGGTTTAGGTAGGGTTTGGGGTTTAGGGTTTAGGGTTTAGGGTTTAGTTGAGGGTTTAGGGTTCAGGGTTTAGTTGAGGGTTGAGGGTTGAGGGTTTAGGGTTTAGGGTTAGGGTTTAGGGCTTAGGGCTTAGGGTTTAGGGTTTAGGCTTTAGGCTTTAGGCTTTAGGCTTTAGGCTTTAGGCTTTAGGCTTTAGGCTTTAGGCTTTAGGCTTTAGGCTTTAGGCTTTAGGCTTTAGGCTTTAGGCTTTAGGTTTTAGGCTTTAGGCTTTAGGCTTTAGGCTTTAGGCTTTAGGCTTTAGGCTTTAGGCTTTAGGCTTTAGGCTTTAGGCTTTAGGGTTTAGGGTTTAGGGTTTAGGGTTTAGGGTTTAGGGTTTAGGGTTTAGGGTTTAGGGGTGCAGAAACTTTGTGCCCTTGAGGGCGTGTAAGTTGGGATGTTACCCCTTATATTAACAGTCCTTAATAGGGATTCTAGTACCCCCTATAAAAGGACTGTCAGCACAAGGGGGAACATTCCTGGGTGCAAGGGTTCAATGGGGCTATGGCCTCGGGGTTTGAGGAGCTTTCTGCTACTCAAGCCACCAGACGTGTCCCAGCTCTTGCAGCGCCCTTTTTTTGGGGACAAAACCCTTGCCGAGTTGCTGAGTACCCTGGGCCGGAAAAGGTTAACCCCTCATTTGTGGTAGGATTATAGGTACCCCAAAAGGTTAGAGGTTACCCTAAACCCTAAACCCTGAACCCCAAACCCTAAACCCTAAACCCCAATACCTACTCAGCTACGAGGAAAAAATGCCCAGTGGCGCCCCCACGGCGCTGCAGCGCCGCGCTGTCCGCCTCCATGAGCCGGCGGAAGGACGCCGGCCTTGGGTTTAGGGTTTAGGGTTTAGGGTTTAGGGTTTAGGGTTTAGGGTTTAGGGCTTAGGGCTTAGGTTTTAGGGTTTAGGGTTTAGGGTTTCGGGTTTCGGGTTTAGGGTTTAGGGTTTAGGGTTTAGGGTTTAGGGTTTAGGGTTTAGGGTTTAGGGTTTAGGGTTTAGGGTTTAGGGTTTAGGGTTTAGGGTTTAGGGTTTAGGGTTTAGGGTTTAGGGTTTAGGGTTTAGGGTTTAGGGTTTGCCAACGTTCCGCGCACACCACCACGCAGGGCGTGTGTTGTGGTGTGCGCCCAGGTCCAACGCGCTCTCCCAAGCCACCCACCCACATCTCAACCTTGGGAGGGTTTAGGTTCTATAAATATTGTGTGTGTGTAGGGAAGGCCCCTTATATGGGGAAGGAAGGCCCCTTACAGGGAAGGCCCTTACGGGAAGGCCCCTTACGGGGGAGGCCCCGAAACAGGGCCCAAATGAGGGGCCACCCCAGGATCGGCCCCAAAGTGCTCGATTCTCAGGTGATTTAATAAAGAAGTCATATAGCGGAAATGACACCCTAGTTTTACAGATTTCGCGGGGAAGGCCCCTTACGGGGAAGGCTTACGGGGAAGGCTCCTGAAAGGGGAAGGCCCCTTGCGGGGAAGGCCCCTTACGGGGAAGGCCGCTTAGGCCGCTTACGAGGAAGGCCCCTTACCAGGAAGGCCCCTTACGCGGAAGGCCCCTTACGCGGAAGGCCCCTTACGGGGAAGGCCCCTTACGCGGAAGGCCCCTTACAGGGGAAGCCCCTTACCCTTACGAGGAAGGCCCCTTACGGGGGAAGGCCCCTTATGGGGGGAAGGCCCTTCCCCTTGCCAGGAAGGCCCCCAAACAAGGCCCAAATGAGGGGTACCCCAGGATCGGCCCCAAAGTGCTCGATTCTCAGGTGATTTAGTAAAGAAGTCATATAGCGGAAATGACACTCTAGTTTTCCAGATTTCGCGGGGAAGGCCCCTTACGGGGAAGGTTCCTTACGGGGAAGGCTCCTTAAAGGGGAAGACCCCTTACGGGGAAGGCCCCTTACGGGGAAGGCCTGACGGGACGGGGAAGGCCCCTTACGGGGAAGGCCCCTTACAGGGAAGGCCCCTTACGGGGAAGGCCCCCCCCTTATGGGGGGAAGGGTTTATGGAAGGCAAGGCCCCTTACGGGGAAGGCCCCTTATACGGGGAAGGCCCCTTATACGAGGAAGGCCCCCAAACAGGACCCAAATGAGGGGCGGTTCAGGATCGGCCCCAAAGTGCTCGATTCTAAGGTGATTTAGTAAAGTCTTCTACATTAGAGAATCAAAGACCTTACGGGAAAGCTCCTTACAGGGAAGGCTTACGGGGAAGGCCCCCTACTGTTAAGGCCCCCTACGGGGAAGGCCTGTTGCGGGGAAGGCCACTTACGGGGAGGGAAGGCCCCTAACGGAAAGGCCCCATACCAGGAAGGCCCCTTTGGCGGAAGGCCCCAAGGCCCCTTACGCCGAAGGCCCCTTACAGGGGAAGCGTAAGGGGAAGGCCCTTACGAAAAGGCCCTTTATGGGGGAAGGCCCCTTATGGGGGAAGGCTGCTTGCCAGGAAGGCCCCCAAACAAGGCCCAAATGAGGGGTACCCCAGGATCGGCCCCAAAGTGCTCGATTCTCAGGTGATTCAATAAAGAAATCATATAGCGGAAATGACACCCTAGTTTTCGAGATTTCGGGCCTTACGGGGGAAGCCCCTTACGGGGAAGGCCCCTTATAAGGGGGGGAAGGGCCCCTTTCGGGGAGGCCACTTACGGGAAGGCCCCTTACAGGGAGGCCCCTTATGGCCCCTTACGGGGAGGCTCTTACGGGGGACCTACGAGGAAGGCCCCCAAATCAGGCCCAAATGGGGGGACCCCAGGATCGGCCCGAAAGTGGTCGATTTCCAATGAATTCAGAAGAGAATTCATACGGCAGAAACGACCCCCGAATTTTCCAGATTTTGGCAATTTCCCTTACGGGAGGCTCCCTTACGGGGAAAGGCCCCTTATGGGGAGGCCCCTTACGGCCCTTTACGGGGAGGCCCGTCAGAGAGTCAAAGATAAGGGGCCCTTTACGGGGAAGGCCCCCAAATGGGGGGACTGTGGGTACCCCCAGGATCGGCCCGAAGGTGCTCGATTTCCAGTTAGTTTAGAAGAGAATTCATACAGCGGAAACGACCCATTATTTTTTCAGATTTTGGGTTCCTTATGGGAAGGCCCTTGCCCTTCATAGAGAAGGACGACGAAGGCCCCTTACGGGGAGGCCTTCACGGCGGGACCCTCACGGGGATCGCTTACAGGGATCGCTTATGGGGAGGCCCTTACGGGGAGGCCCCTTACGGCGAGGCCCCTTACAGGGCGGCCCGTTTGGGGAGGCCCCTTACGGGTAGGCCCCTTACGGGGAGCCCCCCTTACACCCCTTACGGGGAAGCTCCTTTACGGCTTTACGGGGAGGCCCCTTATGGGGAGGCTCCCTTACGGGGAAGGCCCCTGACGGGGAGCCCCCTTACGGGGAGGCCCCTTACAGGGAGGCCTCTTACGGGGGACTTACGGGGAAGGCCCCCAAATCAGGCCCAAATGGGGGGACCCCAGGATCGGCCCGAAAGTGGTCGATTTCCAATGAATTTAAAAGAGAATTCATACGGCAGAAACGATCCTCGAATTTTCCAGGTTTTGGCCATTTACGGGAAGGCCCCTGACGGGGAGAACCCAAAACCCAAAACGCAAAACCCAAAACCCAAAACCCAAAACGCAAAACCCAAAACCCAAATCAAAAATTCACCCTTTCAAGCCTTTCGAAAGAAGACCGCGAGAACGCAAAACCCAAAACCCAAAACCCAAAACCCAAAACGCAAAACCCAAAACCCAAAACCCTAAAGGTTCCATACGTTTAACTTAAAACCCAGGGGTTTGGGGTAAATAGAATAGAGCCAGACTGTCGCTGGCACGTGGGTTCAACCCTCTTAACGTGGGCCGTGCTCGCACGCACCGGCCCCGAGCCCTCGCCAGGCTTCGCCTGCTGGCTCGGGCTCGTCCGCGGGCCTGTCGCCACGCGGTATCGCTCGCTGCTGGCAAAAGCAGCACCCGCAGCTCGCTCCAGTTTAGGGTTTAGGGTTTAGGGTTTAGGGTTTAGGGTTTAGGGTTTAGGGTTTAGGGTTTAGGGTTTAGGGTTTAGGGTTTAGGGTTTAGGGTTTAGGGTTTAGGGTTTAGGGTTTAGGGTTTAGGGTTCTAAGGGGTTTTTGTAGTTTCGGGCCTTGGGCTTTGCAATCAGGGTTTATCGGGTATTTTGTTCTGTTTTTGGATTCAGGTTTCGGCGGCCTGCTATTTGGATGAACTACCAATACTGTCTCAAGAAACAACTGGTAATAAGTCGGCAGGTTACATGCACGTTTGGGTGGCTTCGCATGCTTGTTCTACAAGTTTGCTTAACATTCGGTCCCGCATGACAACCAACAACATGCTGCAACCTCACCAAAAGAATTAGCAAAATGAGGTAAGCCCCGAGCTCCCAAGCCTAAACCCTAAACCCTAAACCCTAAACCCCAAACCCTAAACCCTAAACCCTAAACCCTAAACCCCTACAGG